TAATGGAATTTGAAACATCAGCAGAATTCAATTATTTGTATGGGTTTCCATGTTTTCTTTTAATTGTTCTGATTTCTCAGTCTTTTGTGAATCGTAGTTAGTTTTGCTGAAGGCCTCTAGAAACAATGATAACCTTAACCATTGGACTTTTCGGTTGGAGAGCCAATGAATGATACGGCTGCGTGGCGCAAACAGTATCGTTTGTGCATCTACTGCCTGTCCGCACGGATCCAGTTTGCCCGCGTTCTGCATTGTTTAGAGCTTTGTGTTTAGTTTTATCCCTCTCTTCATTGGCTTCTCTATCTCCGAACTGTACAGTGCAGTTGACCAAGTCACTGATACATATTTTTCGCCTTCACATGACAAGCAGAGTTACGGCCGGGGCTACAGAGGACTCAAGCTGGAAACGCGCTTTCTCTACTGATGACACGGATTCAAACAAATATCTTAGTTTTAGGTAATTTTCCGTCACTTTCATCCCCTGTCGCGAATAGGGAATCAGAAGCCAAGAAAATTTACCCAATTAGTCCAAGGTTGCGTCAGTCCGATATATAATGCAACTAATCTGTGCATATAATGGCACAGTATCCAAGCCCTGTGTATCCTGTGTAAAACTGATTGAACAAATTTCGTGTATTCGGATAGAACTATTATGTTCAACAAGAATTCGAACGAGTAGGATAGAGCGGGACTAAGAGACACGACAGAGTAGTCAAGCGCCAAGTTTGACAGCGTGAAGTCGACAATAACATCGCTTTTCTAATCGATCAAGAATGAATGAACTTAAAAATAATCCTCGCCAATCTCAAAACGCCTCTCCACGATACCGTGCATCAGATGGTAGAATAATCCGATACGACCGAACACGGACACGTGCTTGGTACAACGTGTGTACAACTGCTAGTAATAATCGTGGAAGAAGAGAAATTGCGCATCATGTACAGAGTGGTCGTCTACTCGTGCTGCAGCATGGCCACAGAGAATGACAGCACGCATTACACTCGTACATAATTCGGACGGAAAAGTGTGATGCAAACAGTGAACACAGACACCGAACAACACGGCTCTCAGTCGATTTGTTCGCGCAGCATTAGGAGAGATTAAAAGTAAATAAACTATGCATGGTTCAGCTACGAAAAACAAGCAACTATGAACACAAGACTATGCACAACGATTTGCGCATATTTATTCAATACTGAAGTTGATTCCAGGTTTGCTCGAACGAACTTTATCGTGAAGGTTACAATTCTTAGTTAAGTCTTAGTTAATTCCCTGTCCATGGTGCAGTGGAATAGGTAATATTGATTTGGACTGACCACCCGTCTGAATTCACCTTCACCATTCTCACTCCCGCGAATCAACCACACACTCGAGAAGCATAAGACTCGAGTTTCGCTGTCATTAGAGGGGATCAGTAGTGTATATATCTGCCGTCTACTCCAAGCTTTGAACTTCGGACCCATCGCCTGTTTTATTACAATTAGTATTCACCAATGAAAACAGAACAGAGCTATCTCCTATTGGTTAAGTAATCGGTCCGATTAGTCGAACGTATGCATCCCGTATCCCCAAATTATCACTATTAGGTTAGTAATCATTGTGCCCTAATTGCTACTATTACTTTCGGTCTATGTCAATATACAAGCGTGAGAATTGAAAATCAGAAAAAAATCTTTCTTGCACATTGTATCATTCGTCGGCAGCTTAACATAAAAAATGTCAGTAATGAACTGCTGTTCAGACACCGTTAGATATCCCACAGGAGACATGGACATTATTGAGGTTGATTAATCAAACGGTAAACAGTGATGGTGTTGAGCATTTTCACTGGGTAATAATAAACTGAGTCAATCACATTGTTCTGTTTGCCTGCAACTGCATTCGCGGAAACCGATAGATGAATCATTGATCTGGCAAAGAAATGGCTTGTCATTTAATACAGATCTAAGACACAACGAATCCCAAACAAGATGTGAATGCGACTAAAGGTCAGACAGTTTATGAAAAATAAGTCAATTTACGTAAGATATTAAACATCGAGATAAACAATAAAGGTGAGTGTTACATTTTCTAAATGGGTCATTCACCTGCAGAAAAGGGTGACGGCGATCAGAATCTAGCAACCGCCAAGTTGGGGAAATGTTGTGAATCAATTTTTTCGCGTGTCAGCCAAACTCTATCCCTGGATTACTATCGATCACCTGATAAAATGAAGAAAGTAGAGTTCACAGTAACAAGATGGAACCTAACGTGGGCATTTTATAACTGGCGCTCGAGTATTCATGTCGCGGTATAATGAGAGCAGATTAGATAAAATTGCCCGTACTGACGGTCATGGCTGCGATCAAGCGGTGTTTACCATGACATCACCTCGGGGGAGGAGGAGCGGGTTAAACCCTACCGTCGGCACTTATCTTTCTCAATCCCTTGTATTTAACGGTGAGCGATTAGCCGACTGTTTCCTTTTACAAAAAACCAGATGCACAACTGCTGTCCAATGATACCGGAAATCAACCACTATCACATGCAAGCATGGGGCTTTTCGATAGGACGCAGTTCTTACATGAACCTTCTGAAGATACTCCATCCTCGTTTTTTTTTGACCTGCACAACACAACCTCGTGTTAAACTGAGCTGCTTACTGGTTATGACCAGTAAAAAAGTACACATATCACGCTGTAACCGAAACCGAAATTCTGATATCTATTAAATACTTCCTGTAGTGATGCACAATTTATGCTGAACATATTTCCCAGTGAGGTCTTAATGACCGCGCCATTTGCCAAATCTGGAAGAGAACTGACAAGGCCAAGTGAATACGGAAGGAAGGTTGACTGACTGCTTCCGTT